ATAACGTTTATAGAAAAATCCATTTAAATAAATTGCTAATATATATATATATATATATATATATATATATAGGGATTTTCTAAACGTAGCTTAGGTGTGGTACAAGGCCTTAAGTAGGGGGCACCCAGTGAGTATTGAACTCACTACTGAGTCGTAATTGTTCTAACGAGACAAGCTTGCTAACCATTACACCGCCTCGAGGTGCCTAATATATATATATATATATATATATATATATATATATATATATATATATATATATATATATATATATATATATATATATATATATATATATATATATATATATATATATATATATATATATAATTGAATAAATTACAGACATATTGTCTGCTAATCTTTTAACAAAACCCGTTCATACTCACGAATAAACTTCCGTGTCTTGATGTTAAAGGATGAGAGAAATGTGCTATAGCTGTTTAAATTTCTTTTATTTTCATTTCCTAAGTACTTTCGATCTTTTTCCAAGATCATCTTCGGGGGTGCAAGTAATACAAAACTAAATGCTGTTCATTAATATAAGTATTTATACAAATTTGTGCGTTGTTATCCATTACCGAAATTTTTTCATTACGCTTTTAAATGCAAACCGGTTGACAATGTGCTGAGCATTCATTAGAGCGTGAAAAAAATTATCCATTATTGAATTTTTTTCTCTCTGTATTATAATGTCATGTTCACGCACGCGTTAAAGCCTGAAAAAAAACTGTTCTTTTACAAGCATTTCAGAACATTACTTCAGTATTCATAGTTGATTCTGTTCGGTGCCGGCTTTAATTTTTTAATATAAATTGCTTCTAAGATCTGTAATCTAAATTTAAACAGTTATAGCACATTTCTCTCACCCTTTAACATCAATACACGGAAGGTTATTCGTAAGTATGAACGGATTTTGTAAAAAAATTAGCAGACAAAATATATGTAATTCATTCAATCAGACATGCTCAAAAGAGAATTTTCTGATGAGCTGTGATACAGCGAAACAGTCTGTCTGTGGATGACAATATGTATATATATTTTTCTGACACTATATATATATATATATATATATATATATATATATATATGTGGTGTCTCAGAAAAATAACAGGATTGACGTCACAAAAAATTATGTCAAATCCAAGTTTTCCCCTTCAAAATCATCCCCCATGTGTTCAGGGACACTGATCTAAAATTATTTCTTTGGGTTTCATGTTAAAGTGACCTTCAGACGATAAAGATCAAAGGAGAACTAACTTTTGTACCCACACACACACACACACACACACACACACACACACACACACACACACACACATATATATATATATATATATATATATATATATATATATATATTCAGATTTTGAATTATGCCACTGTGTGTCCTCCACATGTTTTGACTAGCCTTTCAACGACCTGATGAATGTTCATGGACATTCTTATATTTAACGCCTTGATTAACAAATGACATACTTGCTCTTTATATATAAACACGCGCAACATAATAAACCCTACATTTGCCTTTGATAAAATCCTTCGGCGGACGAAACACGTCGGCTAACAATATTTTTCCTCTTGTCTTTTATTCAATTTGTTCCTTTACAATATCTGAAAATAATTCACACACACGCATATATATATATATATATATATATATATATATATATATATATATATATATATATATATATGACACAAGTGTAAGGATAATCTATAATAATCAATAGTAGTAGAGATGCTGTTTGGGTGACATCTCTACAAATCTGCCAATATTTGAGATGAAATACTGCTTTTGACGTGCAAATTTCTTCGATGAAGCATTTTCAATATGAAATTTTGACTGTAGTTTTATTTAGCATTCATGCTGTTTAGTTTGTTGTTTTTCTTAATTGTCGTAGATTGTATAACGACATGAGAATTACAATAAAAAGCAACAAAAATATGAACGAATAGTCAAAAGTCAATAATAAATTATTGCCTTTATTATACGACTCACTCGACCCAGTCAATAACTGAACAAGTGTTACGAAAATGTGAAAAAGAGGAGGCAACTGATTTGTGTGAATACATTTTATGCACACACCCACACACACACTCACCCATATATATATATATATATATATATATATATATATATATATATATATATATATATATATATAGGCTATTTTAGTGGATATCCATATTTGAGTAGACACTTCGTTTAGTATATTTATTTATTTTCGTCTAGAGGCCTGAATATTAGAAAAAGATTTTTTTAATATTCAGACGAAAATAAATACACTGAATAAACGGAACGTCTACTCAAATATGGGTATCCACTAAAAGTAACGTTTAAGCGATAGAATCTATTTGATTAATAAGTAAAATATCCATTACTTTAGAATTATATTATAGACCAAAGTTTTCAGGGCTCTCTCTGGCTTTAATAATTAGTAAGTTTCATGCCTACTTTGCTTTAACTCCTAATCTAAGCTAGGATGCCGAAACTGTTTAATTAGTGTAAGACGTTGGCGTCCAATCTTTTAGAAAGTGATTACCTAAAATTTGAAATTACCAAGCCGTAAGATTAACATTAGGCAGCAAAATAGATTAGGCAAGAAAGATAAAACATTAAGGGCACTTTATGCAGTGTTGAACTAATTTCGTTATTATTATTATTATTATTTTTATTATGATTATTATTATTAGATATATGATATATCCCATCAGAAAGAGAAAGTCACTCTGGCCTGAAGTGAACTATTAAATTAGTTTTGAAAAAGGCACAAAACCTTAAATTTTTTCGGCGAGTCTTCGAAATCCAGAGAGTGGCTCAAGGTTTGGCCGACAGTATATATATATATATATATATATATATATATATATATATATATATATATGTAACTGTTTATTTATATATATATATATATATATATATATATATATATATATATATATATATATATATAATGCAACTGTGTATTTTTATATATATATATATATATATATATATATATATATATATATAATGCAACTGTGTATTTTTATATATATATATATATATATATTAGTATAAATTATTATATGCAAGATGCAGCAGAAATAATTCCCCCGTATAATTGCTCGAACTACTTCCCACGTAGTGGTATGACAATTACTAGATGATGATACCATTGTCACTAATGTTTTACCATTATGTGGGGAGTATTTCTGGGCGGTATATGTGGGAGGTATTTCTGCCTCACTCTGTATAATGCGAAATATATTTATAATGCCAAAATGGATTCTGATTAAAATTATATATACGTATATGTGTGTGCGTCTGTTTGTCTGTCTGTCTGTCTGTGAACGCGTGTATTTATATATGCTGTATATCGTGTGCATTCGATATAAAGGGAGTTTATAAAGCCCATATGCAATTTTCAATACTGAAAATCAACCGCAAAATTCCTATCGAGAACTACCGAGTCGTTATTATTCTTTGTATATGTAATAATGATGGACATGTTGAAAATTAATAATCCCAACATCAAATTTTAATTTTTTTCTCGTCCTTTTCCTGGATTAATTCTGTTACGCATAGTTACAAAACTATGTATTTAAAAAGTTTGCCTTCCATCAGCAGGGAAGCTGATCACCACCAGGAGAGCAACTCCCTACGCCTGCTTGATTTCATATTTTCTACTGAGATGAAGTGGAATGATTATATTGAATCAAATGTTTAACTCTGTTGCTTGGAAGATTTCTTTACTGTGCCGTGTCTGATAGGTTCGATAAAATTGGCAGCCGATATTAAAAATGACTGTCAATCGGTTGTTAACTGGGACAAGGTATAACTTGTTAATTTTAAAACTTCCAAGACAAAACTGCTGATTTTTAATCATCTGGGCGAGCCATTTTCGTCTTCCACCAAAATGGCTGATGCTAATTTCCAGGAGAGTAACTCACTGCACCTTTTTAGACTAATGTTTTTCACTGACATGAAGTGGAAACATTATATTGAATCAATTGTTACGTCTGCTGCTAGGAAAGTTTGTTCATTGTGTCGTGCGAGACAATTTTTCTCACCAGAATCTATCTTGTACATTTATAAATCTACCATTAGCCCATGCATTGAATATTGCTGCCACATATGGTCTGATGCTTCTGCTAGACATCTAGAGATTCTTGACAAAATCCAAATATTATGCAATTTTATAGGTCCTGACCTGGTATCTCGGCTTCAGTCACTTTCAAACCGCCGTAACGTAATTTCCCTGTGCTTTGAATATTTTCATGACAATTGTTATATTTGATATTTTGACTTCACGAATTTAAGCGCAGTACTAGATTGGCAGCTAGGTCTCATAATTTCACTATTTAAATTGCGAGTTGTAGCCGTAAGTTATGTTCTAATAGGTTCTTCTCCCGAGTCTGGTTCCCTGTTTTCCCGGCAACTACATTATGTAAAAATTTAAACGCAAATATCAATCGTCATCTTCTGTTTCCTTGAACTTGTTCTTTTATTGTCCGCTTTCGTTCTCAGTAAACTCTTGAATTTTAGTGGCTTTTATCGCCTTTCTTGGTGGGAATTTCTTTAAAAAAATGCACACACTTTATAAATTCCCTCTATCTGCGTATGTGAGTGTCTGTATATGTGTATTATGTGTGCGCGTGTGTATGAGAGAGCGTGTGTGGGGAAGGTGTTCCTTTGTATATACATACGTTACTACACATCTCCTTTAACGTACATCAGTGCACAAACACGAAATCAGGGAAGAAAGAGAGAGAAAATATGCACTAATGTATGTGTGTGTATGTGAATATGTGTGTGTTTCGTTCCGACCAGTACGTTCTTTTTTCTTTTCTTTTTCTTTTTTTTCTTTTTTTCCTTTTTTTTTTTTTTTGTCTTCTGTGTTAATCTTTCTTCGTCCTATAATCCGACAAATACTGCAAGTAAGATTTTCGCATGTAACGCCAGGCGTCGACAAGAAGATTGACAAACAGATGCCAGCTCTCATGAACTTTCCGACCTATCCACGCTGAAAAGTAGAGTTCCTTGTGTATTTTCGTGTACATCTCTTGTGAAAGAAGCCGGATCACGTTCGTGTCCTTGCACACATCAATAGGCAACTCGGCCTCCTTCGTCAGTTGAAAGACGTCTGCTCCAAACAACAACAAAAGGCTAACAGTTTGTATAAACCCACAAGCTGAGGCGGTATGAAGAGGAGAAAAGCCATTTTCGTCCTGGGCATTAACCTCGGCCCCACTGCAAAGGAGAATTTTTACAGCGTCTAAATTGTTACCCAGGACACTGTGGTGCAACGGTGTTAGTCCTATATGATTTGTTTGGTTGATGTTGATGTTATGGGCTTGCGAGTGCAGCACTCGCGCAAGGTCCTCCATGTCGCCGTCCTGGATAGCAGCGATCAGGAGGGACTCGGCCGAAAAGCTGATTTTACGGCGACCATCGTGAATCTTGGATGCCTTATTACTGGAAACTGGGGTCGAAAAGGATGATGAAGTTGGTGGAGAGTAAGTAGATATCGAGGTGCTTTTCGAAGAGGCACTGACTTCATGAAGTTTAACTTTCTTGGAGGTCTGCGAAAAGAGAGAAAATATTTTTTTTCATCAAAGAAACAAAGGCCATGTTTAAAGAAAGCAACAAAAAATTACAACTGAATTGCAAATTGATCGGTTACATGTAGCAGAAATTATCTTCATTGGTATTTGAACGGCAGAATTGTCATGAAGGAAATATCCGTCATCCGCAGAATTCATAAATATATATATTTATGGATTCTGTTTCAGGCAAAGCGAACGTATATATATATATATATATATATATATATATATATAGAGAGAGAGAGAGAGAGAGAGAGAGAGATAATTATGGATTTGGAAAGCAATCCCTCTTTTATTCTTTTATACATGTTTCATTAAAGACGACGGACAAGGTACTGCGATTAAGCTTTTTATTCGATTTTTTTTTCATTGTTCGTATAATGTTTCCTTTTCTGGACACAAAGTGTTTAAATATTGTCCAAACGTTCTATATACCCGAGCGCTTTCGGCTATTCTATTAGCCATTATCAAGGATTTTTTTTAGATTGAATATAAAGCTTAATCGTAGTACCTTCACAGCCGTCTTTAATGAAACGCATATAAATATATATATATATATATATATATATATATATATATATATATATATATTATGAAATGGACAGAGTCCGACAATTATTTTAAGACATTTTATGTTTATACATTCTTTTTATAGATACAAATATTTAAGTAAAATGTCTTAAAATAATTGTCGGACTTTGTCCATTTCATAATGTATGACGTCATTTTTTTTTTACATTTGATACGCCATGAGCAGATATGAATGTACGTGAGAGATTCATAGAAGATTGAAGTTTAAATACAGTAAATTCGACCTTGCTAACCGAACGCGCCTCTGTGACCAAATCGGTAAAAGGCACGTCAAGCTAAATGTCGGTTCCATATAGGATACAGGTTCGATGGCTGTCGGAAGACGAATATTTTCTGTGAAAATTTCTCGGACATTCAGACCGGTAAATGTTGTTTAATACTTTTTTATAAACAGAGCATTTACTTAAATATTTGTATCTATAAAAAAGAATGTATAAACATAAAATGTCTTTTATTACAACCAAAAACGTTTGCGGCACCTCTCTTCTCTTCTTTTTAATATACACACTTTTTCTCGTTGGAACCACTACAACCTCTTTCTTATATATATATATATATATATATATATATATATATATATATATATATATTATTAAAAACAGCCGACAAAGTACTGTGGCAAATTTTTTTATTTAATTTTTCTTGTGTTTTTAGAAATTTCTTCTTCTCTGGACATAAATTATGTAGAAATTGTTCGAATGTTCTATATGTCTGAGCGCTTTTTTTTTTTTATTAATAATATTAATTATTTTTATTAATAATGCTTCCATTATTACTCGTTTTTATTTGGCTCAATTAGGTCTTATCTAAATACACATAGACCAAACAACTCCATTTGCAACATACTCGTTGATAATACAAATATAATAGCCCCATACACATGTAAAAAATAATGGAAGCTTTATTAATAAAAAAAGAAAAAGCCAACACTTAATAATATCAACTATGAATACGGCCACAATGTACTGACCGTGTTTGGAAAATAAAACATTTCTGTAACTCTAGATACATAAAATAATCCAAAATCATCCTTGATAATGTCTAAAGTATAGTCGAAAACGCTCGGACATATAGAACGTTCGGACAATTTCTACATAATTTATGTCCAGAAAAGAAAATTGTAAGAACACAAGAAAAATTAAATTAAAAGTACCTTGTCGGTTGTTTTTAATAAAACTTATATAAAAGAGGGATCGGTGTCCAAACACACATATATATATACACAGAAAGAAAATAAAAATGCTAGCTATTAATACTAGCAAATAATATACGTAATATATATAATTTAACGTATATCAAATTTAACAGAATTTCTGCCAATAAATCGACGGTAATTATTTAATTAGAAGTAAAAACATTTAATAATTATTGAAGGTCAACTCAGAGCATCGTAATTTTTCAACTTAGCTCGATAGATATATAGATAGATAAAGAATAAGTATTGACACAGAGATATTCTAAATGAGACATGCAAAATCTGGTGGCGATGTTAGATTTAATTCTTTTCTTGTCAATATGTTCAAGTTATATTTGATTAACAATGAAAATTCAAAAATATGTATAATGCTGATTTTTTGTCGATATATATATATATATATATAGATAGATAGATAGATAGATAGATGAAATTGATTGTATTTTTTATCCTGTTTAATCCATCAACAAGTGATATGTCGTGCGAGCATATTAGTAGGGCTTAGTCAATGTATCAGAAATATGTTGTGGTTTTTGTTACGCTGAAAGGAGTGACCAGATTCTAAAAATTCTAGGAAGAGGGAGCCCATACTCCACTGAGTGGTGAGCCCATCGATAGTCCAAGTTTCTGTCTATAAAAATTCCCGTTGAATGTTTAATAACATTGGTTTGGTTTGTAATGAGACAGCATATTCTTATAATGTCGTCAGTTGGTAGAGGAAGCTTACCACGGAGATATGTTAAAGCACTTCTATATTTTCATCACTTACTACATACACACACACACACACACACACATATATATATATATATATATATATATATATATATATAGAGAGAGAGAGAGAGAGAGAGAGAGAGAGACATTATAGATATATAGATTTTTTTATGTTTATACATTCTTTTTATAGATACAAATATTTAAGTATCTATAAAAAGAATGTATAAACATAAAAATGTCTTAAAATAATTTTCGGACTTTCATAATATATATATATATGTGTGTGTGTGTGTGTGTGTGTGTGTGTGTGTGCTATAAAAGAGAGAAACCGCAAACGTTTTTGGTTATAATGTAGATTTGTTTTAGTGTATATATTATATTTTATTCTTTATATTCCTGGTACACGTGTTTCCGGTTTTGTGACCTTCTTCAGGCAAATAAAAGGCATAAATTTTAATGGAATAAATTTACCTTATGTTCTTTTAATGTTTTAATGTTTCATTATTCGTTTTTTGTATTTGTAGTGAGCCTTGATCTCATTTTTGGACTGTTAGAATTAATGTGAGTAAAATTTGTTACTTATCTGATTGATGTTACCTTAGATACTCTCTTTCAATCGTCTGAGGGAATCTTTTTTACCTTCCATTACAATGGCTGATGTTAACCTCCATGAGAGTGACTTCTAGCACTAACACCTTACGCTGTCGTGAAGTGGAAAGATTATATTGAATCAATTACTAGGTCTACTGCTAGAAAAGTTGGTTCACTGCGCCATACTAAACAGTCTTTCTTGCCAGAATCTATCTTACGCATTTATAAGTGTACAATTCGTTTATGCATTAAATATTGCTGTCACACCTAGTCTGCAATACTATTGTTCCTGACCTGGTTTCTCGACGTCAGTCACTTTCTCACCGCCGTAATGTAGCGTCCCTGTGCCTTTTCTATTAATATTTTCATGATAATTGTTCTGATGAGATTTCCTCTTTGGTACCTAGATTTTATGAATTTAAGCACAGTACTAGATTGATGGCAGGGTCGCATTATCTTACCGCTGAAACTCCTATGGATAATCGTAAGTTCTAAGCTAACAATTTCTTCTCTCGCATTTCTCCCTTGTGGAACTTTTTTCTGTCTTCTTACTTTTCAGTCAACTTTGATCTTCAAAATTTTAAAAGCAATGTCAATCGTTACTGTCTTCTTAATTCCTGTTCTTTTATTCTTCTCTCTCCTTAATTTTTTGTTCGCATATTCTCTTACACTCAGTAATCGCTTGCGTCTTAGTGATTTTATTGCCTTTCTTAGGATGAAAGGATTATATAATATATATATATATATGTGTGTGTGTGTGTGTGTGTGTGTGTGTGTGTGTTCATTTTTATTTTAATCCTCTCAAATCCACGGATCAATTTATTAGTGCTGTTACAAAACTGAGTAAGAAAGACGCCTTAGTTTTGGTCATTTCTTTTATTTTCTCAAGTACTTTCAATCCCATCCAAGATCATCTTCACGAGAGAATTGCTATGACAAAAGCTAATGTAATTGATACAATTTTTTTCGTAAATGAATATGTAAGAGAGAGGCCTTAGTTTAATTTTTTTTATTGATAATGTTTTAAAACTACTCAACGTTCAATTCTTTAAAAAAAAATTGGTAAAATTTTTGCAATTTGAGCATCCGTTTTAAAATATTGTTGCTATATTCATAATTCATTTAAATTACGTGTTGGGTCGTTTTATATATATTTTTTATAAATATACATATCTTACATTAATTGCACGACACCGAGTTTCATGCCGAAGCAATTTTCCAGAGCTGGAATTAATTCCATCGCTTGAAAATTGCAATCCTGTTAAATTTCTTATTATCTTTATAAAAATTTTAATATTATTATCGTTAACTCATTCTAGTTTTAGGTATTATATTGGCTAATATTCGTAATTTACTAGTAGTATGATTAGCCATGAATTAGCTTCCTATTTTTATTTTTATATTTATTTTTTATTTTATTTTTATTTTATTTTTCTCTTGCTGTATTAATGATAGTTTCTAATTTAAAATTAATATAAAAGTTTAAAATTTATTTTGTATTCTATTTTACAGTGTAAAGTCGATTTTGTTAAGTATTGTATGGCTTCTTAAAGTGTACGTTTTTACATTCTATGGATAATTTTGTTTGAATATATGATTTCATATAAGATGCCATAAAATTCGAAATGCGATATTGTTAAACAGTGTATTCATTTACGCTACATTTCTGTTCAAATTTAAATTCTCTTATTCAACGTAATTTCATTGGCTTAATTCGTATCAACATCTTTCAATAGACTACCTACCTTCTTAACTTTCCTTTTATGTATCTATTTCTTTAGCCTTTTTCTTTTTTGTCTTTTCTCTTTGTAGTAGGGTTAATTTCTTATGCTTTCTCTTGCCTTTCTTTTCTTTCCTCTTTCTTTTTCTTTTATTGATT